TGTGGATCTGCAGTCCAACGTACAGGCCTGTGTGGCCATATGTCTGACACTTGTCATGTTAGTTAATATGCAAGTGTATGCGTTTTCGAGCTCGATTTGTCCCTTCATATGATTTCGTATGATTATGTTATTTGTTGATTTTCTAAGATTTTGGTACTTGTTTGGTTCGATTTTGGCATGTTTGTATTACCTTTTTTCTATATTTGTTTATCCGTTCACTGGACATTTGGCTCAGCCGTGTTTTTTTTAATTTCCTCACGGCAGGTAATCAAGGGATGGATAGGTTTTGTGAAAAAGAGTAGATCAGAATCTTGGTTCCAAGGATTTCAAGAGGTTTAGTGTTATGTTAATTCATTTATTAGATTTTGTTCCTTTCTAGCTATTAGATTAGATTTCTTTGGTTGTTTTTAGATTTTCCTCGGTTGTTGGAGGATTTTGGAAATAATTTGTTTGGAGACCTTTATATCTTATTTGGAGTTATATTCAATTTCGTTATTGGAAGATTTTATTTTGTATTGGAGACTATATTTTGGAGGTTTTATATAGCGCTCCGTTACGTTTTGAAGTAATCTCCCTTCCTTCGGAATGGGGGTGTTACATCAGAGGTTTAGAATGAATAGTGGAGCCTAATTAGTTCAAATTTTGAGCTGGTTTTGCTCCCATTCCGATTCAGAACCATGGATCCTGCGCCTCAAGGTTTAGAAATGAAAAGTGGAGCTTAATTAGTTCAAATTTGGAGCTGATTTTGCTCTCATTCCGATTCAGAACCATGATCCTGCGCCTCGAGGTTTAGAAATGAAAAGTCGAGCCTAATTGGTTCAAATTTTTGAGCTGATTTTGATTCAGAACCATGGATCGTGCGTCCAGCATACAGTAAATGTGGCATTTGGTTCGAATCAAATACATCTCAAAACTTGCGATAAGTTCGAAAAAAGTAAGTAACACAGAAATTTAACTTCAATTTCCTAAGATGAGTTTAGCAAATTCCATAAACCAAAAGCACACAAATACACGCGTTTAAATTCAAACATTTTGGAGTCAATTATGCAAATCAATTACATGAATAAATTTTCGAACCTTGAGATCGAGAAGAGACGAGTAGGATTTTCTACGAGCGAGCTTAAAGGCACGGAGCAAAATTCCAATGCCGACACGAACACCATAGGACAGAAGGAAACTTTGACAGAGATTACCAATAGCGTTGGCTACACATGACTCGTCAGCGTGATCGCATAGTGGATGTAGCATCTTAGCACGTCGTTGTCGGCGTTGCAATTCCTCAATTGCCTCCCTCAAACGATCCTCCGCCTCTCGGAGACGCCGTTCAGCCGCTGCACCATCGAATGAGTCGGATGCCGGAGGCGGAGAAGCAACGGAGGATGTGGATTTGGAGAGAGAAGGCATTTTGAGAACAAGGGTTTCGGCATCGGGCAGAGAAAGGGATATAGTGAGTATATTTTATTGCTAATCAGGCCGAACTGCAAATGGTACAATTATCGATACAAAAAGGTACAAGTTTTTACAGCGTTATGTCTCCAGGTAGAAAAATTAAATTGTGGATTTGGTGGGACATATCGGGTCGGGTCAAGGATCCGGTGTAGAACTGAGACGTTTCTTGACGCGACTGTCACGCAACCGTTTAATATGCCAAAGGGAGACTATCTTCTCGATGGTTGTTGTTCGGACGACTGTTTGGTAGTTATTGAATGATTTGATATAAAATAATTAAGTGGTCATAATGATTAAGATGATCTTATAATGTAGTGTAAAATGAAATATAATTGTTTGGTAATTATTCATAATGAAATTATGGTGCTGAATGGTTAAAGGAGACCGAAGATACAAAATCATTCAGAGAATTTTGATACCATTAAGAGGCAGACTTTTTTTTTGTCAAACAAGATTCACCTCTTAACGATTCAAAAGTTATCTCTTAATAGAATTATTAGGAAATAAACAAACAACCCCTTAGTTGGGAAGACTAATTACACCCCTATATATTGTTAAATGCATTTTTATATGATATTTCTTTTACATACATCAACATCAAAACCCACTTTTTATGTTCTCAATGCATGAATCGACCCAATTTTGACATTAAAAGGGGTGTAAATAGCAATCCTCAAATTTCTCATGTGAGTCGCAGTGTCGGACCTATAAAGTTCTGCTTGGGGTCTCGTACACCCGTTTAACTTACTTTTGTAAGTACTGTATGATTTTTTTGGAGTATGAAAGTTGCACCAGTTCAACTTTATGGGTGCTCCAGGATATTTGAAAATAAACGTAACATCAACCAAAAAAACTAAAAACTTCCCTCAAAATCTCCAAAAGACCGAAAAAAATCTCTCCAAAAACCCCGTAAAAGTCATTCGAGGTTTGAGCTTGATTCCAAATGTCAAAAGTATCTTGAGGTCCCAGGTTCAAATCCAATGAGGAATAAAAATCCCTTTGTGACCACGGAGGTTCAAATACAGTAACTCCAGTCTATCTGCAAAACAGGTGGTCGTCCTGGGATTAGTCGGCTTGCATAACGGGTTGGATATCCAGGTTAATAAAAAAAATCATTCGACATCAAACAAAAACTTAAAAAATCCCTTGAAAACGGTTAAATTCGGCTAGAAACATATCAGACATTTTTGCGGATCTCTAATCCAACTTAAATGTGCATCCACTAGACAAAAAATCATGGGTTCACTGCCGATGAGTCATTTATCCATTCCTCATATGGGACAAGCGTGATGCTATCGAAATGCACTCGTCTACGTCTACATCTATATCTATACTATATTATAAAGCATTTCGACAAAAGTTCTAAAAACAACCTATAAAATATATGATATTGCTTTTTAATGCACAATTTCTTACGATATCTTAAATATAACGTTAGAAGCTTCATGTACGACTTATCGATGTTATATAGCCATAATTTAGGTTCCTAGCACTATCTCATACAAGCTCTCATGTTTTCGTCCCCCAAAGTAACGATTCACATATTATCTCGGACATGCTCTCATCGATTTCGTCCCCAAAGTGACCATTCACAAATTGATTTCACCAAATTGACGATTCGAGCTTCCGGTATGATGAGAACTTATTCAAATCTATATATCAAAATACGGTTAGGGTTCTTCTCAATGCTTCAATGTTCCCGGTTCTTCATACTGTTGGGATTCTTCTGGTTCGTATCCTCTCATACGGCAATTAGGGGTGTTCGGAAAATCAATGACCCAATTGGAACCGATTGATCCAATTAGATCTGATCGACCATAATTGAATATCCAATTGTAATTGACTCAGATCGGATTGAAAATTTCAACGTCCAATTTGGATGGTCGGTTCTCAGATGGCAGTCCAGAACCGACCAAGACCGAACCGAACCGAACCGATCAATGTCCAATTAATCATCCGATCATCAGTTGTCCATCCAACCATTATCCAATTAATTTATTTTCAAATTGTTTAAATCATAATTTGTTTTATGTGAGGCTTTGAATTTTTAACTTCCATTGTATTTGTTTTAACACATATTAAAAGTGGTTAATTAATTTGTATCATTGTTGGGGAATGGATTGAATTAACACACCGGATTGATCAAATCCCAACGAATCATCCATTGGATATCCAATAAAAGTATCCAATACATGGAACCGTACCGATCCAATCATCTATTGGATTGGATTGGATCGATTATCCAATGTTAATTGGATCGGATCGGTTAACAATATCCAAAAGGGATGATTGGATAGGTTCGGTTCCCTCACATCCAATGGATGTCGATTGATGAACAGCCTTAACGGCAAACGCATGTTCCTTCCCCTTTTCACATATGTGTTTTTTTATGTATAATCCTATATAGTTCCAATATCTTGAGTAATTCCTCTACAGTTTATCCTTTTCAGTTATATTGCAGAGGTACTCTTTTATGTATTTTCGTTTTTCATTTTTTTCTATTTCCTACATTCCTTCTTCTCGTGTGAAGAATACCGTTTGGTACAATGATTTGAAGGCGAATGCATTTCAAAACAAAGGAGTTACCAAAATGTGATCCCACGAGAAATTGGTCATATCTTTTACACACATGATACTTTCACGGTTCACGGTGCAACCCTCGTGTAATATTTCTTTTTTTCCCCTTAAAATATGGAGAAACAAACGTTTATTATAACCTTATAGGTTCCATCAAAGAAACATGCCTTACCGACTCCCATCTTTTATGTATTTCTTCCTGGATTTTCGTAGTCACAGTTGTAACTTCTTTTAGTCATTACCATCGTGTTAGATTATAGTCACTGTGACGGGTAATACCAAATCTCTTGGAAGAGTTATTATCAATCAGATATGGTCGGCTCATGGCTTAAATAAATGATAATTGTTTCAATTCTCGTATTGACATAAAACCTAATAAAGCAACCGTCTACTCTTTTTTGGTTCGTTTCTTTTGCCTTTGAAATCTCTTAGCTGGTGAAAGAAATGTTAAATTACTGATGGGTTTAATGGGTTTTCCTTCGAATACCGTATGTTTCAGAATAACTGGACTTCGCCTTCTTGCTTTTTAAATTTCAATCGAGATGGCAGTTACTTCTCAGTTCCCAATAGATATTGTCAATCACACCCCAATTAATCAACTCCTTTCAGAATTTGGTCGGTTTCATGTCAATCTTGATACATGTAGTTTAAACTTGATGAAGCCAAATGTATGGTTCAATATGTTTAAACCATCTAATTTTGTGATTCGATTCAGATACCATATACTTCAGATCAACTGGACGCTGCCTTCTTGCTTTTTTTATTTCCATTAAAATGGCATTTACTTCTCAGTTTACATGATGAATTTTTGTTTACATGTATTTCATCGGATAATGTCTATCGTACTCCAATTAATCAATTCCTTCAGAATTTGGTCTGTCTGATATAAATAGGCAATGTAACGTGATGAAGCCAAATACATGCTTCAATATGTTTAAACCATCTGATTTTATTTTTTTTCCTGTAAATAGTCAAGCTAAATCTGGTTTCTTAAAAAATACTGTTATTATCCCTATCAAAGAGGCATAAATCGAGCTACAATAAAATTCCGGCTGATGAAATACCTACCATTTTTTCATATATAAAACCATGTCAACAACCTCTCATTTGGTGTATTACTTGGAATGTCAACAACTCCTCACTTGGAATTGGTAAAGACTAAATAATGAATCATACATCCATTTTTTTAAAACAAATAGATGGATCCAAAGCCTAAAATAACATATTTCTACATTCATTATTTTGATATATTATTATTTATAAAATAACTAAAGGGGCGATTATCAAACGCTTATCTGATAAACATTTACTGGTAAAATTCAACGTTATCATTTACTTACTTAGTAAGATTTTAGTCAATAAAAAGGGTATTGTACGCAACGATTTACCCGGTAAGTACTAACTGTGGTACACTCGTTGTCTTCACTTACTGTGTAAGATTCTCGGTCCTTGCCACGTTCTTATCAGATAAAATTCTTGGTTGATTTAGAATTAATGAAATAAAATCGGCTTTACTTTACGTGAAATGTGGTTGATTTATTATACTGTCGAGATCAAAAAAATATTTCTAATTTGACTCGATATAAACTAAAAATAATTCATATTTTTACTGTTCGTGTTATGTAAATATGTTTATCGCATTTACTATATATGTATTCGTCTACTTTCTATTAAGAGGATTTAGTTCACAAGTACTCGATAGACGGTATCATGATTCATATATGTAGTTAGTTTATTGGAGAACGTAAAATTCCCAAAAACTATTTGATTAATGTTTATGAAAATTGAGTTTGTTGTATGTCAACTAATAAAAAAATTGACATTTTTTATTGTATTGTTTATTTGTAATCTGATATTTAAAAACTGAATACAACATGTAAACCACCAAATATTTAAAAGACATCTTGCAAAAATTTAGTATTCAGAAAATAAAAATTGAACGTATCTTGACAGAATCTTTACATCTGTGATGTATTGCACGGTTACATAACTAGTTTTGTTAAATGCATTCATATCTACTAATTTATTTTTCATACACATCAACCCAGGACTTGTTTTTTTTAATTAACCTGAATATCCAACCCGCTATGCGAGCTGATTAATCCCAGGGCGACCACCTATTTTACAGATGGCCCGAAGTCATCGCATTTGAACCTCCGTAGCCACAAGAGAATTTATATTTCTCCTTGAATTTGAACCTGTGACCTCCAGATACTTTTTACCTTGGAGCCAAGCTTAAACCAATTAGGCACCACCCTTGTGGTTAAGACTTGTTTTTTCTTTTACATTCTCGACATATGATTTGGTCTGCTTCTAACATAAATAGAGGTGCTTATAGCAATAAAAACTCATATTTATGTCATAACATATCAAATTACGCATTGAAAATGTTAAAAATAAGTAGTAATTAATGTGCTTGAGGAGGAAATTTGCAGGTAGGAGTACATTT